CAGCCCACTACTCAGCAGGTGACTTCTTAGTTTAAGTTCCCAAAGTGTTTCTCATAATGTAGAATTACCTGGTCATTTTCACTCCTTTTTAATTCTACACAGGAAGGGAAAAAGTTATCAGTTCAGAGCTGGTGTGAATGACAAAAACAGCCTCAAAGGTACAAATTAACGCCACGGGTATTAATTTGGTCATTCTTAACAACATACAAAGCACGAAGCACCAGGGGAATGTGGGAGAACTGATTATCCTGTTGGGATATTGTGGTGCGTTTTGTCTCAAAGAATGTCTGCATGTATGAATGGCTGGTTCTGGCTTTACCGCACCTGTTTTTTCTATACTTAAGGTTATTTTAATGATTATTCACCTGTAAAGTCATCAGAAGCATTAAATGGGTTATTAATTAATAATGAATTATTACCCACAAGCTTAGTGGTCATATTAAAGATTAACTATGTCATTCTCAGCTGAGAAATCAAGCCCTCCAAAAACAGCTGCTTTCCCGCAAAGGGCCAAAGTTTATTTACCAGCCTGACCTCTTAACCTTGTTCGAATGCTGCTGATCTGCCCTGCATCATCCTGACCACATGCCTACCTTTCCTCTGTACGGAAAGTGCATTGAGCCCAAGCCAGAGACCCACTTCCATTCAGACGGACACAATGTTGAAATAGCCGTTGATTGATCTGCTGTACATTTAGGAACCAAAAGTCCGGTTAATAATCATACTAAGCGGTTTTCTCCTAACACTTAAAAAAACTCAGTTCTAAATCCTCCTGTGAATTCCCATGTGGCCAAAGGAGTTCCTCACGATGGCAAGAAGGTTTCAGCCATTTTAGCGATGTCAGCACTTCTTTACCAATAACTGACTGGCACGTCAGGGTTTACACAACCATTCCGATGCACACAAACGTACACCCCCATCTGAAAAATGGTCCCCACAATGTCAAAATAACAGGTTTTTATCACATTGTTGGGGAACATTTGGTCCCCACAATGTAACATAAACCTAACCCGCATATCCTTATGGGGACCACTCATTCACTTCTATGGGAAAAATGCTTACGCTAACTATGACAACCTAAACCTCTACCCAGCCCAATCATAACCATAAGTAACCAAGCTAAATACAAGAGTTTTTGCATTTTTAGTTTTTTGATTGCAGATTTTTATAAAATTCAGTTTCCCCTTATGTCCCCTACATCAAAATAACAAGTTTTTATCATACTGTGGGGATATTTGGTTTCCACAGTGTAATATATACATGACCCATGTATATATACACACACACACACATGCACAGAGAGACAATGGCGGTGAGTTTGTGCTCCTCAGCTGGACAAAAGCTCAGCTCCTGATGGGGTAATGATTAACCTCCATGGGGGTAAAATGACCCACAGGTTCCTGTAATCGACATCGCATTTCTCTGTGTGTCGCCATCAACAGCCATTCTGCAGTGAAAGGAAAATGCTGGCAAACCTAATGAATCCAATAATACATTTATAACAGCACTTGAGTGAAAACAGAGCTGCATGAGCTTCAGGGGACAGTGAGCAAAAAAGAAATTTAATTACTTAATTACTGTAATATTAATAATATTGTAATTAAGCAATTGATTAACACTGGATTGTACTCAGGGCTGGACTGGGATTAGAAGTTATCCCTGGACTTTTGACCATACAGGCCCAGCACGCATATAACAAAATTTGCCAACTGGGGTGATGCCCCATGATTACTTTGGCCAGCCCACAGCCCAATTGACGCCTGTCTTGTCCAGATTGTACATGTATCTTAACATAATTCTATAATTTTAATATAAATCCAGATTATAACATAAGAATATATGTCCAGTTTATAACATAAATCTGGTAGCTCCCTTGGTAAACTTTCAAAGGAACAGTTTGAGCCAATATTTTGGGTGGTCAGTTCTTGTTACTAAGGGCAGCTGGAGTGGGAGATAGAAATAAACCCAGATATGTTAAGATTATACAGGAAATCTGGTAGAAAGTTACACAACACTAGGCCGAAACACACAAACATAAATGCAACACTAGGATTTTTTCACTGAAATTTTTTTATGATTGCAACATGGTTGTGGCTCCTCATCGAGAAGTACAAAGAAATTAATCTTGGGAATGAAAGCTTCCAAAATGAATGGGATTAAAAACACGTTATAATAAAAACAGTATCAAAAGTACACTACAATGTGAAATGTATTAACATTATTATGTCACAGTGTTATATAACCGATTGATTGTTAATTATAGCTTTCGTGCTTGACAGTTTTAGTGTTGCAGCTCTCTGGCTATTTATTACAGGGATAATGGCCAGTTTCGGATCAGTGCTACTGTTCCACAGAATGATAAGTCTCACTGTGCGCAGAGATCAAACGTCAGCGCGTCCCACCTATTTACACTGTCAGGGGAGTCAGGGCTGGTTTCAGAAGGAAGAACACAGAAACACAGCAGTCATGCTGCAGCGTAATACCTGCAACAGCAGAGCCTCCCTCTCTCATGGGCTTGATGAAATATGACCTTGATTGTCACGATTCCCCAATTATTTTTCCCTGAGGGCCAAATTACATCAGCAGCACAGAGTCAAGGGCACCTGCCCAATGCCATAGGAGAATGTCTGAGATGGGGGGGGGCACAACTTAAGTCAAGGGAGGTAATGCTAAGATTATACAATTCCTTGGTGAGACCTCACCTAGAATATTGTGTACAGGTTTGGTCACCATATCTTAAAAAGGACATAGCGGCCTTAGAAAAGGTGCAGCGTAGGGCCACAAGAATGATTCCTGGTCTTAGAGGAATGTCCTACGAGGAAAGGTTAATTGAGCTAAATCTGTTCAGCCTCAAGCAAAGGAGACTGAGGGGGGACATGATCCAGGTCTATAAGATTCTAACAGGTTTGGATGCTGTTCAACCGAATAGTTACTTCAGCATTAGTTCAAATACAAGAACTCGTGGCCATAGGTGGAAATTAGCGGGAGAACATTTCAAACTGGATTTAAGGAAGCACTTCTTTACACAGCGTGTAGTCAGAGTATGGAATAGTCTTCCTGATAACGTAGTGCAAGCTGAATCCTTGTGTTCCTTTAAATCAGAGCTAGATAAGATTTTAACAACTCGATCTGAGCTATTAGTTAAGTTCTCCCCAAGCGAGCTCGATGGGCCGAATGGCCTCCTCTCGTTTGTATAGTTCTTATGTTCTTAACTTATTATAGGGATGAATGAAGCCAAATTAAACATTGTGAAGGACATGACCCCCCCCCATCCTCCATGCTTCCTGCACCCCTGCCACTGCCAGCACCTTGCCAAGCGGGTGATAATATATATGATAAAATATAATATAACACTATAACCACAATAAAACATCAAAAATATAAATATACCAACACTTTGCGTTTAATGCTTAGGACATATTTAGATATATTCCTTAAGTAAAAGATGTTCTGATACCTTTGACATGTTATTGTGTTTGTCTAATGTGAACATCTAGTGTACCTGACCTTGTACAACACCTTGACCTTGGGCTGTTTGTCTTCTGTCACACACCAGTATAAAAGAATGAGGTGTACTTAAAAACAATACTGTTAGTTATTAATTAACTGTTCATTAAAAACAAACACTGTATATTAATATTTTTATATATCACATAAATCATCTTTTCAAAGCAAACAAATCTGATTTTTAAGTGTAAACAGAATGAATACTGTTTTAAAAATATTTGTAATACTTTCTGTGAATGCCATGTTTATAATTATCTATCTACATTCATAATACATAATAATGCATTCATAAAGCTCTATAAATATGCCTATAATATTTGATAACACTTAAAGAAGTCATTATAATGTAGGTACCTTCATAATGCATGAATATACATTAATAAAGTATTATAAATACAGCTATTACTATTTATAAAAAGGCATAACACCTTATAGCCATGTTTATTATGCATTATGAGTGCTCTATGAAGCTCACATCTATACTGCACTATAGATACCTTCTTAATGCAGTACAAAGCATTAAGGTTATCTATAGTGCATTATAGATGGAAGCTTCATTGGAGCTTATGAAGTCTTATAATCAACACTATAATGCCTTATGGCTGCCAATAAAAGATGCTGTAATGCTTTATTAATTGTTATACTGACCATTATAATATATTACGAAGGTATCTATAATGCATTGTAGATGACAGCTTCAAGTAAAGTGCTATCAAAATATTTACCATTAATACATTTTATCAGTCTATTGCAGAGCAAAAATATTTCAGGAGATAGTTGTACTTTAAATATTTAAATGAAAATTTTAGTAAATGCTCGGTGTGAATAGCAAAGAACGGGATTTAAATCATTTATGATGTAACACAAAGCAAAGTGCTGCCTAAGGGTCTGTCTGAGCCAACAGGTGCTGTCATATTTCAAATGTCAGCCAATTGCCACTGCAGGCATAAATTACTGTAAGGAGAGACATGAGTGATTTAAAGCTTTTCCATAGGTATCAAAATGCTCAGAAGCCAACATCACTTTATTTCACATTAAATCAATTTACTATAAGGAATTCCTCAGGAATCTGCTATGTTCCTGTCATAATTTTGTAGGCTGGTACTAATGCATGTAATGATTTGTTAATGTTGCAGGGCCTCTCCATACAAGCAGACAGACCTTGTATGGAGTGGCCCTACAGGTAGTGTGACTGTAGGTAATGTTGTACAGAGATTCCACCTTAGGCGTACTGATTTAGGGAGGTAAAAGTTTATCTCCTGGGAGAGGGTGAGGGGATTGCCACTGATAAAATTTGCTGATTGAGGTGGGGGGGAGGGGATGCATTAAAAATGCAGGAAAATAATGTTAATTTGTAGGAGTCTTGCAAGAGAGGAGGGGTGTCAGAATGTTCATGCAGGCAAAGAATGATGAAAATCTTGCCGGCCACTCATTGGTTAACACTCATCAGGTGACCCCAGAGGAGGTCCTGCATTGGTAGCAGCATCACTTACGGAGCGGACGACGGCTGCCATGGCTTCTACCACGAAGCTGGAGACCGGGGACTCGCTCATGGCTCTTCTGTGTCTTTGCGGGGCAGCAAGGCGTGACAGATGGGGTCTGGCCGGTCTGAGTTTAGCCCTTTTCTTTCTCGCTTGGACTCAGTGGGGAGCTTTTGGGCAGCATAACCTGATGATGGTAACAAAGATCATAAGAAACATACCAGGATAGATCACAAGCCTCAGTATATAAAGCAGAGATACTGAAAATAGCTGGGAGCATCATAATGATATTTTAATAGGACAGTATCTATACGGTCTTCAGCACCCATTGCCCATTTTCACAAATAAGGGAGAAAACAACATGGAATGTTGCTTTGATTTTGTTTTCTGCACAAACTAAAGAAAATTATAACATTCAATGTAAACATTAATATCTCCATAGTTAACCCAACTGAAATGAAGGTTATTTAGGGATGGTTGTTTGAATGACTTTTGTAAACATCGGGCCTGATTTGGGCTGACCGTGTGGTACCAACCCTCAGCAGAAATTCCTGAAGACCTGTGGGAAAGAAAACTTCTTGATTCCTATCAGCTTAGACAGTTTACATTTCAGTGAAACACAGTCAGATCCTTATTATCCAAAGAGAAAGTATAGGGCAGATTCATCCTGGGAATGGTTCTTTGACAAAATGTCAAGACAATCACAAAAACAGTCAAGAACATCATCATCTAGAGCAGGGTTCCCCAATTCCGCTCCTGGGGGGCCAGTTTGCAACACAGTTTGCAGATTTTATCCTGAACAAACACACCTTATTAGGCACGACCAGTTAACTGCCAGGTTTAACAGGTGCGTTTGAGCAGGGAAATCTGTGAACTGTGTTGCACACTGGCCATCCATGACTGGATCTGGGGAACCCTGATCTAAGAGGCTCGTACTGATTTAGCTAAATTTAGTACTTTTAACTCCAGCATGAGCAAAAATCATATATCAGAAAAACATGCTCACTAGAAAGAGAATGCACATTTGTAAAAAAAAATCCTAAATTACTTAAAAAAAATTTTGAGAGCATGTTCTGTAGACATATCTGATGGCTAATGTAGGCTTTGTTGGGGAAAACCAATATCCTTACTGAACATCTAGAAAATCTATGCTTTCACTGCAGGACCCAAACAGTAGCCTTAAATTTCAGGCTTCTGGGTTCAAATCCCTACAGTTCTGTTACTTTTCTTCTGAGGTCAAAAACATGCAATAATTTATATCTTAAAATTGCCCATAGTGTAAGTTCACATGCTTTTGACTGGACCAGCATCCAATCCAAGGTGTCCCGTCCCTTGTGCCTCCATCACAAAGGACTGCTTGCTGTGCCTGACAGAACTCTACAGGCAAACATCAGGCCACCCCTTTCATGCCATACAGCTGAGTCACGCGGCAAGTTGTGACCTGAACTCCAAGTGTGGCAACGCCTGAGATGCACATCACTCATGCTCGTCAACACAGCCATCGGCCCCGTAGGGAGGAGTGTGACAGTGTTTTCAACATCGCTGTCACCGGTGGCGTCAACATCGCATAATTGTTAACATTTTGAGCTTGTTCACTTAGGCTATGTTTCATCTAATGTTTGCTTACGGCTGAAGATAAGTTTGCGGGATTTCATAGCATTCAATGTAAAATATGTACTGGGGCTGTATATAATTTGAATATTCTCCAGTTCTTTATGATTTTATTGTACAGTCATTATAATGCGTTATTATCCATCCATCCATCCATTATCATGGCCGCTTATTCCCCACTGGGGTCGCAGGGGGCCCGGGGCCTATCCCTGGAACAACGGACGCAGGCAGGAACCAACCCTGTGCGGGCACCATCACACCGCAGTAATGCATTATATATTCCTTCATAATGCATTATAATGCATGGAAAAAGTATTATAAACACGACTATAACTATTTATAAAAAGGCATAACACATCATAGCCATGAAGGAATCTATAATGCGCTATAGATAACCTTCATAATTCATCATAATGGTCAGTATAAGGATTAAGGATGCATTGTGCTACATTATGAAAGTATGTATACATCTGTGCATTGTACAGTACATGACTGCATTAAGTAAAGGGTTGCCACATATTCTCTATTCCACAGCTAGTCCCTGCAATAAAACCTCCCTCATAACAAAGGCCATTCTCTTGGCTCATGCCTCAGCCCAAACCGTCTCACATTAGGAAGAAAAAAAAGGGTTTTGCCTGGAAGGTCACTAATTATCGTTTACTTGATAGTAACACCCAGTGTATTGAAGGCACTTTGATAAAAACACACGAGGGATAGGCACATATCCAGGAAACATGAGAATGAGTTTGCTGTCCAATTCTCACTGCATTTCAAGGAGAAAAGTCATACCTGACTGCAGCAAACGCAACGCAAATATATACAGTACTCTCAGCCCAAGCTATTACTGTATGGTGTATATTACCGGAATGTTTGTTAGGTTGACTAATAACGTCATAGTGAACATGTTCATGTCCAAAGGTTTGTGAAAGGTTGCTTTTATGTTAAAGCAGGACAGCACTTTGGCCCAGCTGCATGGAAACCTGCAGCTTGTTCCTGGCACAGCTTAGTATGTGGTGATGGAGTTCCAGGCTGCTTCAGCCTAAGCTAACACTAAGCTAACCCAGTCTGACATTCCAAGGTGGCCTTCAAGAGTCAGTCAGGGTCACCACCACAAACACCTTGATGGCTCGTACTGCATTATGCCAACATTTCTAGACACACAGTGTGCAGGATGTGCATGGGTTCAGAAAAGAGATGACATGTTGCAATTTTTTTAACAATTGGTTAAAAAATGATTTTTAATAACAAATATAGTTAATTCAAACAGTGGTACTGACCCTTCTGAAATATTATTTAAATTTATTTAGCAGTTGCTTTTATCCAAAGTGATGTACAATAGAGGAGGCAGGGTCAGCCAATCCCTGGAGCCACTAGGAGTTAGGGGCCTTGCTCAGGGGCCCAAAAGCAGAATGACACTGCTGACCATGGGATTTGAACTGGCAACCTACCCGAGTCCTATGCTCCAAAGTACAGCACTAGCTGAGGCTAGAACCCAGGGTCAGCCAGCATGACAACAGCAACCTCCAGCCAACTGAGCTATCCAGCTCCTTCTCTAGCCCAGCGTCTATTCACAACATAAGCATTCTTATACACCTAAAAAGAAAAAACACTACCAACAATGAGAAAACAGTTTTCCTGTACTGATTGTCCAGTGGAAAGACATCGAAAGGCATGAAGATTTGGTGCTGTAGCCTGTAACTAAAATAAATAATAAATAAATAAATAAAACATGCAGACCAGGGATTGCCAACCTATCTGTATACGGACAATGGTGTCCATGGCAAAAAGTGTTGTATGAGGAAAAAAAAAACTATGTAGGCTACGTTTTTGAATAACACGTCTATGGTAAAATACGCTTTTTGATCAAAATGTCTGTCAGAATTTGCCATGGTGTTGAGCCTTGGTGCAGAACACAGGGCTAAATTTCATGTGGCAGCACACTGTTATTACAAGAGAGCCAGCTGTAAACGTGGCTGGATGCAATGAGTGTAAGTCCTTAGCTAGCTTTTGGGAGATTAGATTTGCATTCTGCTGTTATTTTTGGATCCTGGGCCCAACAAAAATATTTCAGTAGCTAGGGACTTGGGGTGTGATGACAGAGCTGACACGGAGGGAAGTTGCATAATAACGATGAGTTGCCATGAGTAGCTGGGGTTGGGTGCAATGTGTATGTTATCCAGGAAGTGTGTTATCCACTACCAATGACGTCCGTGCATCCAGCTCGCCGTTCTGCCTGTGTCATCTTCCTTGTATGACCCGCTCCCTGCCTTCTGGCTGCCTGGCGATTGGAGGGAGCGTTGGCACCGGCTTGTCATCTCCCCCCTGCTCACCGTTTGTGTCTCAAAATTTACTGTATCTGACTCTCCCTGCCGGCCCCTGGAGGATGGGCTCCCCCTTTGAGTCTGGTCCCTCCCAAGGTTTCTGCCTTCTGGGGAGTTTTTCCTTGCCACTGTCGCCTATGGCTTACTCACTGGGGGCTTTGGGTGGGGATGCTGTAAAGCGCTTTGGGACAATGTAATGTTGTGATAATGCACTATACAAAAATAAATTTGTTGTTGTTGTTGTTGAGAATGGAGGTACAAACCTGTTACTGTGCGCTTTACGGAAACGAGTGGGAAAGTATCCAGTGATTGACCCCTTCAGTCACAAGAGAACTGGAATGTTCTTACAAACTGAGGTGGCTGTGGAATTTATGATGATGTTATACATTCAAAAGCGAGTACATGGTACAGGGACAGAAGCAGAGATATAAGCTGCTATTGTGCCCCCTCCCCGTCCCAGTCGGAGCGACGTACATCCTCATTCTTGAGGAAGTTCAGACTTGCCACCAAGCACGGCCATTGCATAACTGTGCAGAAATGTTAGACTCTGTAAGTACATTTTTGGACAGGTACCTATATTGCATATAAAACTCATTCAGAAGAACATTAACTGGGTATGACCCAGTGTGTTAGGACACCGTTCCTGTGATTGCAAGGTCACTGGTTCAAAATCCCAGGATCAAAAGAGTGATGTGACCATCAGACTCTTGACCAAGACCGTTAACTCCCAATTGACCAGCAGCCTTTTTAATTGTATGTCACTTTAGATAAAAGTGACTGTTAAAAAATGTAAACATGGAGCAGTTAAAGGCCCAAATGGTTTGGTTGTAACTGTCCTGCCAAAATCGCTGATTTATCAGTCAGATATGCATAGGTGATGGAACACTAACAATGAATAATATGTGTTTAGTTTATTGTACTGATCATGGGCACCTACCAAAGTGGGCCTGAACTACTGGATTGGGCACATTCCATGAGATAAGAAGCTTGCACTCTGATAGGTGGGAGGCAAACCCTTGTGTCCTTATATGCACCTTATGCTAAAGCAGTCACTGAAGGTCTGCTGTGACACCGACAGATTAAGACAGCACCCTGGTACAGTCTTTCAACAAGACAACACCATCCACACACGGCACGTGTGTCTATGGACTGCCTGTGTCATGTTGAGGTCCTTCCATGGCCAGCCAGGTCCCCCGATCGTCCCCTAATCAAACGTGTGTAATCAGCTTGGACCTCAACTCAGACCCAGTGCCAATCTGCAGGATCTCGAGGGCCATTTACAACAGCTGTGGGTCGACTTGCCACAGGATATGATACAATGGCTTTATGACTCCCTTCCGCAGCATATCGCCACATGTATCCAGGCCTGGGGGGTGCCACACCCTACTGACATGGGACCAGCAGTATGCCCATACTGCCAACTCTGTTGTCCGTTTGATCTGATATTATAATCATTGCGATACAGTCACATGACCTTTCACCACGATTCATTTAATTTCCACCACTCTGTCTGGGTACTTAACTTTTTATCACTGGGTGTATATGCTACACTTTCACCAGAGAATGCCGATCCTTCTGTGCATGAAGAGAGACGTGATTTGAAAACTCAAAGAAATAACTCCTTTATCACCAGTGCAAATATACAAGATATCTCCAAAGTGTGACATACTAGAGGTGTTATTATTGTGAGTCTAAGTTGCCTAATAAATATCGTATTCATTAAGCACTGGAAGGTTAAACAGACATAAACTGCTTCTGCTGTCAAGTTATAAGTAGAATTCCAATATTTTTCCTGGGCTATGCCTCAGAGACACACCATCGAGCCAGCAAATGAAACAGGCCTTAGTTTGTGTCACAGTAATATTTTTGCTGCCTGAGCGAACTGGCAAATTACTGAATGATTTTTCTCCAAACTTAAATTCCATTTTTTAAAACTTAGACACCTCGCAGCGTGCTGAACATCCCCGACGGCTTCCACTAGCTGGCAAAATCAAGCTCTTTCAAGCCAAAGACATTCCTGTTTTCTTATCAGACTGAAAAGAACATTTGTAGGCAAACATTGACTCCATGGCATTCAATATTAACCTCTTTCACCCTCTGCTGTTTCGGTGTGGAAGGAAGATGGAAAGTTGCTGTACAGTCATGTAAGTCAAACTCTCTATAGAGCTTTAATATTTTCTTATTACTATATAACTGCATCTTCCATTCAAACTGGGCACAAGTCATATACTACCATGTAATATAACTGAATGAAGACAGCTGAGTACTGAGCCTTTGACACCCACAGGGGGCAGCTGTCAATTACTGGCCGGTTTGGCCAATCAAAAACTCAGACGCAAAATGCAAACGATAGGAAACATGTCAAAGCAGACAGTGATTGATAGCTCTCAGCATCACTGTCTTAATGCTTGGTAGAGAGTTTTAAGAATTTAGATGATGGTGGTGATACTAGGAGTCATTTTATGCTGAAATGTCACAAATGAAGAGAGCGGCCCTCTTTCTAAGCATGGGTGTATACAGGGGCAGGGCCGCAGGAGTACTGGCCCCAGCTAAAAGCTGATTAGCCACTGGGGTGCCCTCTCCCCTGTCACTCACTGATTCAGAACATATCATTGGCTAATGATAATGAATTGACCCCTCTGTATGAATTACAGCCCTACCAAACAAAAATCCTAGAATGAGAGTATAGACCATAAAAACCACACAAAAGACAATGGAGGTAGCCAGCAGCATAGATGACCACCAATTTAACAACAAATTATTTTTGTTTCTTACCCACTGAAGAAACTAACAGTGTCCTACAAAGACAGTCTTTAAGAGTAACAACTTTAAGAGTGTTTTCTACAGCACTCAGGGTGACAAGTAAGGGAAGCCCTAGAGCGAGCAATACACCTGTGAATGTGCCCAAACGCAGCCCTGAAGGTGACACGGGACAGAAGGATTCAGTGAGGATGGCAGGGGCATTCCGCTCCCTAGCCCCACCTGACTGGCACGCCGGGGAGCTGGTGGCAAGTGTGGCGGGCACCTGGCATGGCACAGCCTTTCCGAAAAAAAAAAAATATGCATACACACATGACTAAAGGAGTGACAAGCAGTACCAATTCTGTCAACACATCATGTTCTGCTAGTGACATTTAATGTCATTAAAAACAGATTAACAGACTTATGGGTAGTAACAGGTAACAAAGGGCAATCAAAACCAGCCCAGTCAGTCAGTAATCCAATTAATAGCAATTTAAATAACCTGCAGTTAAATTAAAGAGCAGGCATTTTAACAAGCCATAGTATCATAATTCATTTTCATAGCATAACTGTATAGTAAATTAAAAGAAACTATTTATGCAAACATATCACATGGACTGGAAATATGCTACGTTTCCTTTTATGTCACCAGTGTGAAATTAGCAATACATTTGCAATGTAACTGCATGGGCTGAAGTTGAAATGTACAGAGTATCAGCCCAAGCCCAATAAAAACAGATGCCCCCTGCAGGCTCAGAGTTTCATTTATAAAGTAATGGTTACAAAATCACTGATATCAAACTGTTCCTTCCACAAGATACTTGGGGTTCTGATGTTTTAGATCCAAGTTGTATGCTATCAAAATCTTTCCCCAGAAGAACCTACTGGTGACTTTTATAGGGATGCCAGTCCATCACAGAGGGTAAATCTACAGTCCTACATTTGCCTTGGACAAATTACAAGTAAGCATTAACCATTTTTTCCCCCGAGTCATTTTAAAAAACTTTGTATTTCATCCCTCAACACAGCATCCCTCATCATCGCACAACAGCAGCACGGCAAAACAATAGCGGTCGTGTTGATACGTGACGTGTAATATCGTCCTGACGCATCTGAACAGCGCAGATTCCCTGACAGGTCCTGTATCTTCACACCAACTTCAAACTCCACTGAGCACAACAGCACTGCAACTCCACTGCTCTGCTGCACACGTCTGTAGGTGACGCTCCATGGAGTGACTGGCTTTGCCTTTGGTCCTGTCGTGTCCCAGGAAATCTTACCTCAAGCAACTGTGTCTATGTGTGTGTGTCATCTTTTAATTCATAATTAACATACACTGGTCATTTGGTGTCACACAAAGGGCACGCACTGATGTCCATTTTTATTATCAGCAAACACACGTACTTAAGGAATTTTAGTCTTGTATTATTGGAACATTATATTGTTCACTTTGATTAAACCAAATAAATAATGCCAAGAATAACAGCTTTTTTCATAAATTATCAAAAGAAAAAGCCAGTGACGCCTGAGATAAACTGCGTTCTCAGATTTTAATCACCTAGAATTGTGCCATAACTATATAGCTGTATCCACCCCATGTTCTAAGACACAGTACAGAATTTAACTGAGACATATACAGTATAAGCACATTGGCTCCTCAATAAAACATGAACGAAAACAGGAAATTAAGTGCAAGGAAAGAACAATAAAAGTATATTTTACTTGGAAACAAGACTGATAAACGTCTGCGGGGTCTGCGTGTGCGTGCGCATGCATGTGTGTCTAAGCGAGTGTGCACTCATGGCCGGGCGCCGCAAAGCAAACGTACTGCAAACTGCAGGAGTTTTCTTTCTTGTTCCTCTAAGGAAACCATCCAGAAACTGCTTCACTGGCAGTATGATTCAGTGGCTGCCCTTAACCCTAAAGAAGCTGGAACCTTCCCCTTTCCCGCTGAAATATTTCAGAACAGGTTTTGTAGAAAAGCAAACAAACAAAAAAATACCTAAAAGCCATGCAGATCACACGTGAAAAAAATATAGTGTTTCTGCTGATGTATCACCTGTGAAAAGGAGGGGAAAAAATTCCACAAAGCGAACAGAAACAGATGTCCACGGTAAAAAACAAGCAAATGAGCTACATAAGCATTTCCAGACCGATGCGGAGATGGACACCAGGAAGGGCTTACCTTTCAGTGCTCACAGAAGAAGGTCTAGAGCTGACATCATAGTGCTAAACGAAATTCCACTGTGACGGGAGCCGTGGAAACGTGGAGAGGCAGAGCGCGAGAAAAAGAGAGATACAGAGAGAGCGAGAGAGAGACGGCAGGAGAGACAGAGCAGCTGGGAGAGAGAGAGCGAGAAAGAGAAACCACAGAAAGTCAGAAAGCGTGCGGCTCTCTGTGATGGTTATGAAGACTCAGAACCTGTTGGGTAACACCCCGTACTTGTGCACACTTGGAGCGCCGAGTATAAATTCAAGACTTCCTTTACTGAATTACAGGGCTTCCTCCTCCTAGCCATCTGACAAGCTGCCATGTGACTTGATGCATGACTCAACAGTGAGACACTGAATCGGGGGAATCTTCCATACACAATGCAGTACTATACCAAGCCATAACCACCAATGACAGACACCTTTTCAGGTAGAACCTTCCGCAACCTATTGCACTGAAGGCTGGAAATGCAAAAAGACATTCAAACTTATTATAAGAGAGGAAAAAACTTTTAATTTTTTATGGATATACGGTTATTTTATGGTTGAGTATATGATACAAGAAACTGAATCATTATAATGAGCAGAAACTTGGAACAACACCCTAAATCTCAGGATGAGAAGAATTAATGTTTAAAAAAATTCCAATAAAAAAACATTTATTGACAGTAACACCACAGTAATACCACACACCCACACATATAAAAACGCCCAAAGCAAGACAAGCAAGGTCATTTTCACAACAATTTCTAAGAAACCAGGTCAACAGCCATCTTATCCTATCAGTGTGTTACATTGTGTGTTTATGTTTAAATCTCATGACGCCTCTGATGGCTCCCCATGCCAGCATTGCAGGGCACAGGGAGGATGTGCCCCTGGCAGGGCAGGGCAGGGCAGGGCAGGGCCACGTCAGCACATCAACGACTCCCAGCTACAAGTCAGCTGAAGACAAAAGACCCCCCCCCCCCATTCACCCCACCCGAGGCTTTAAAGGCACTTCCACACCCAGGTGGGGAGGAGAGCAGGGAGACATTGTTCTAACCAACCCCGCAGGTATTTTCCCCGAGACCAGCCAGAGAATGATGGCTCTGGACCTGACCAGTCCCCATCCCACCTGGTCTGACCCTTAAAGCCCCACATAGAATCTCCACATATGCTACAGACCCCTGAGTGCCGAGGACGTCACCACAGACCTATCTCCCCCCCCCACGCTCACTGCCCTACCTGCACTGTAAATACTACTCCTCCGTGTCCGGTCTCAAGTTATTTACCTGGGCAATAAATGTACACTTACTCACAAAAGGACACTATGTAGCATTAGAACATATACAAATAAAAACTAATACAATAAAAAAGTAACAAGAATGCTTTCTGTTCTTCAAATAGTTACAAAAACACAATTTTCTATACGGATTCATTTTTATAAGTTGTTGTAAATGTAGGTAAACCAATTTGAGATAAATTTATTGTGGAATGTCAAATCAATTCAAGTCAGTTTTATTTTCAGAGCACATATAAAACAATAGCAATTCACCAAAATGCTGTACAATACTTAGATAAACAGAATAAAACAAACTACAAACATTCTCGTTATTGTATAAAGCTAAGGAATAAAACTGGCTTTTCAACCTGGATTAAAACATGACCAAAGTTGGTACAGACCTAATATGAAAGGGTAGACTATTCCAAAGCTTAGGGGAAGCTACTGCGAAAATACAGTCACATCTGAGTTTAGATCTAGACCTCAGAGCAATCAGGAACATCTTGTCAGAGCATGTAAAGAGAAAAATCTTTAAAGCCACTTCACAATTAAAAATCAAACCTTTTATTTCTATTAATACATACAGTACTGTGCAAAATCTTAGCCAAAGAAAATGATATTTAAATTATCTTAATGTTCTTCATGTTGGTGTAAAACTATGATGTCTGTCAAAGGGTGTCATCTTACCCATTTCAAAACTTCACCTAAAGCCACCCAAGCTTCAGCAACGATCCAATACGAATTTTTTCACTCGACCACCAGCACACCTTGTTTGGCTAGTCAATACATCAATATTTATTTAATACATCAATAGTTATTTAAGTAATTGAGCTAATTAATTAGGTGAGCTGGTGGTGAAACATAACAAATACACAGAATGGCTGAGGTGCCCCCATATTCATCTAGCCATCCAACAAAACATCAATCAAACTTTTGGGAGAACAGAAGAAATTCTGTTTTATTATTGTGTTACTGTTAATTTGTGTCTTTTATAGGTATATGGGTTTTTTCTGAATAAATATACTACCCAAATAAGTCGCTATACACATTGTTTATGGCTGCCTAAGATTTTTGCACAGTACAGTATATGGTGATGGTATACTGGTATACTGGGTGGTAGTGTATCTGCTTCTAAGTGTGTGTGTGTGTGTGTCCACAACATGATGAATAACCGTTTTTTTTTTTTTTTTACCTTATGGGGACTGCAATGAAAAAAATAAAAATGCAAAAACTCATATTTTGTTTGGTTACTTATGGTTATGGTTATGGGCTGGGTAGGGGTTAAGGTTGTCATAGTTAGTGTTAGCATTTTTCCCATAGAAATGAATGAGCGGTCCCCATAAAGATATGATTACACGACTGTGTGTGTATGCATGTGTGTGTGGGCTTCTGTCTCCTTGTCAGTGACTATGAGCTGTGAGCCTGACTAATTGTCACAGTTTTCAATGCCAAAAGACCTAAAATTGGCAATCAGCATCAAAGGCCAGGGCTTTGTTTTTCCCCCAGAGCATAACTAGTGATGGGTGATGTAGCGGCTAGCAGAAAAGAACTGGGCAGAGCCCTCAATGTGGCACTCTTCAGTTACAGAGCCCTCAGTGTGGCACACTTCAGGTACAGAGCCCTCAATGTGGCACACTTCAGGTACAGAGCCCTCAGTGTGGCACACTTCAGGTACAGAGCCCTCAATGTGGCACACTTCAGGTACAGAGCCCTCAATGTGGCCATTTCAGGTACAGAGCCCTCAATGTGGCACACTTCAGGTACAGAGCCAAAGTATCCAAGCTTCTCTGGAAAACCTGCACTGTAATTTTATAATTTGGTCTCGTATTTACTTACATCAAATAGGTAATTTAATCTTTGAGCTATTTTAAACTAATTTATGTACAATTCCATTTGGCTTCTTAAGGTAACAGAATTCTGCTTTTACTCTGATAAAACATGACAGTTTCAGGGGTTCCAGGGAATATATTTCTCATCTCTAGACAGACTCAAAATTACACATAGACATTTAAATAGCAGTTAGCACTATGTAGCTTGGAAATATGCCTCAATTGAATATAAATAACAATTTAAAAGTCATTAAAAACAAGTAAGACTTAACAAGGCCTTGACTTGAGTAGGTTGCTGAAAGTGAGGCTTGGGTGATTAATTTAGGGTCAAAGTTTCTTGGAGCCATTTATTAGACATGGCCTTGTGAGAGGGTCAGAGTTCATTGTGTCAAAATATTTGGGCTGGAACAATGGAGCACAAAGATATGGATCACTCCACATTCACATATACACACACACTGTGTACACACATGCCTCTTCACTTTCACTGTATCTGCAACCTATCTGGGATTTTAATATGGGGATTACAATACACAACACAGAACCATGTGTTAAAACATAACAGTGAACACTTTACACAATAATTATAACAATTATACCTACCTGTTACCGCATGTGTGCAGAGAACCTACAAACCTGTGTGCCCGATTTCCTGTTTTACATCGCTGTCAAACTCCTCTGTGTTCCTGTTCTGTTTGCTTTCCTTCTGTACCCCATCTAAGGTTGAGATGAACCTGTCTGGTTTGCTTAAGTCCCTGGATGAAAGGGCAGCCAATGACAGCAAGGCAGATGAATTGCTACACTGTTACCTTTCAGTGAATTTCTGGGTCCCCACAGCTCAGAACAGGTCATTGGACCTTGGCAGAGGGGGGCAGGGAAAAATGAAAATAAGAACATGGAATGTTAATCCAGAAATGTTTGAGAAACACTGGAAACATTAAGAATTCCAGACTGAAAACATCTCAGCAGGACCCAGTACACTATTGTTCTTTACACCCCACCTTCTTCAGCTGATTCCATCGGGTCCGGATCATTTCTTGCCCTTCCTGTGCTGTGTAACCTACAGTATATGCTGCATTAGCTAACATTATGTCACTTCAGGGCAGGGATTTCATTAAATGACGTGCATCATACACGTCTTGTTGAACAAAGAGTAACACATGATGTTTACATCCAAAACGAGACTTCCATTGGTTTTGAAGGATAGCCAGGAGTCTTGTCTCTTGGCTAAAACCGAACACAATTTGCCTTAGCTGAAGGCAGACACGAATCAAAACTGATTTGCCGGGAACCCCCTGCAGCAAAGGCATGACATGATACTGGCATTGACCATTTATACAATCCACTACATTAATTCCAGCTCATTATGCTGCTGTATTTTTTGTTCACATACACATAGTATTGTCCTTAGTTTTGGCTCTTGTATTGTGAAAACCCACCGACTATCACGGTTGTTTCACTGTTGCACCATAGTCCTGGGGGAACAATATTTATGGTCTCTGTGCACCTGTATATGGATGGTATGACAATAAAGCATACTTGACCTGTCTTGACTTGACCTGGTTTTTTCAGACTATTACTGTCCTGACTTACATGCCACTAGATGCACCTCATTTTACCCATGAAGATAACTTCCTTTTTCCAGAAGCACTCTAGGCTGAGTAACTGGGCAAAATGGGACATGGGCTATGCGTGACATTGAGTGATGCTCTATTTTCTGTAGGTTCACCCTGTTAATTTTATCTTGGGGGGGCGTGACTTGAAGTGGACTTCATGGAAAGCCTGTGAAATTCAATGGACACAAAAAGGAGAACTTCTCTCCATTTCCACAAGAAAAGCCTTAAGAAAAGAGGCTTTTTTGGGTTTGTGGAGAAACACAACCGGAATTGTTCGTAAGGAAAACAACAAATACTTTTCACTATGTTGCATTGTGACTTGTATTATTGTTTGTAATGCCGTAGTAATTATACAGTCGGAGTGCTAAATGGAATATATGATTGCACTGCTTCACTTTAATTTACCTTTCATCTATATATGCAGTATCTGTCAAAAGTTTGGACACACCTACCCACAGAAACCCACATTTTAGAATAATTATAAAGTTACAAAAAAAAAAAAAAATTATAAAATAATTGTGGTTTGGAACTCAAGTTCAAATCCCAGGGTCAGCAGAGTGATGTCACCATTGGGACCTTGAGCAGGGCCCTTAA